GAACTGAGGCTGAGTTGGTGATGCCAATACTTAATTGACTAACTGAATTATACAACAGAGTTAAGGACAAACTAGGGGAGAGCTGACTTGAGTTGCAATATTGATTGCGGGGAGGATAGAACTTCGATCCAAATATAGATACAAGTTTGGTGATTGTTTGAAAGTATCGTAATTAAGGGTAATTAATGTCAATGTAAATCTGTATTTATTTATGTTATACTCTGTATATTTTATGCCTAAGTCCTTTTTGTTAAACACTTTTCTCATTTCCACTCATTTCCACTTCTTTTCTGCATCAATTATTGAAAACACTAACGTGTTTTACTGTAGGATTATTTCGTAAATGTAAGAAATATATATTATTTTTGTACTTAGAACATTGATTATGAGTTTCTATTTCTCAAAGCTTTTATTACTTTAAATCTTTAAGCCACCTATAAGTTTAAGACATTCCGATTAAGGGACTAGTGTAGTTTTTTTTTATGTACAGTGATATCCGTAACATGTATGATTTATAAATATAAATATTAGATTCCTTCAGGAAAAAAAATCCTATACCAAATTAAGTAACTAGTCCCTTTAACTAGCAATAAACAGTTTGAAATTAAAATATTAAATTAGTATGTATTTAATTTATAGGCCTATATTTGCGTAGTCTGCTATTTCTTTACTGCATAACTTATTCAGGTCTTTAACGTGTGCCGCATGCAGAGCAGAAAGCCTGATGGGAGTCCCTTTACACACTCCAATGGACACCCTTTCATTTTCACACATCACACAAACACAGACCTAAGTAAACTTCCTACCCTAGGTGATGGTGGTGTGAATTCATGTTTCGATGCCAACATTGATTTTTACTCGAACATATCGAATATGTTTAAATGATGTTGTGTACAGGATATCGAACAGATGTGTCCTGAAGTTCAATGACTGTTTGAAATGTGTAACTGTAAAATGTATATGTTTTTTTTTTTTTTTGTTTATGGGGGGGGGGGCTATTTACTACAATTTAGTTTCTTATACATAGACACATCATGGAAGCAAGAATCTTACGTACATTCCATAACCTACAAGGGGCTTAAACAGTTATATTCTTATAATATATTTTTTTCAATAATATTTGTACCTTTAATGAAATATGATGTAACTGATCTATAAGAATGAAAATTTATATAGTTCGTTATGCTTCTAGTAAATGTATGACATGACTGTAATAAGTAGATTCAAATTATACTTTATGAATGAACGTAAATATGTAAGTTTATGTCCAAAACACCTTGTAATTGGCAAAATCAATAAACTCAGGCAACAAGTAGTAGTGGCAGGATTTTTGTCACTTTCAAAATATACTCGATTTGAAGGTTTTACTAGTTGCAATACTAGTAGTTTATTTTTTTTCTAGTCTAGAAATATATTTGAAAGGACCAAGTGTTTTGATTAAAACCACGTTAGATGATTCGCTTAGGGCGGTGCCGTGATAGTGTATTTTAATCAGAGATCTTTATTTTTATAAGACCTAATAATGTTAGTATTATTTAACAAGAAAACGTCCACGTGCAGCTACTAGACGGTTACAAAGTTGTCTGTTGTCGTTGTAAGATATTTTGCCTCACCTTATAAAGGGCCTCGTTAATGTGATGAGGGCCAGATATTTTAATGAGTTTCTCAGCCAAGCAGTTTATACAGCGTTTATACCAGGGGGAATAAATGGGAAATAATTTAATCTTTGCGGTAACGTATATTCTTGGAAGGTTTGTGTACCAAAAATGCTACGCTATAATATGGGGTACTAAGTGTTTTCTATTTACTTGATTTAAATATTCGTGTTAGTGAGGATTTTTACTGGACAATATCTGGTTATGAAAAAATGCTGTTATAGCAGGTGGGAAATATTCGTTTCATAAACATTGATTTGACAATTTTAAGAAAGGCAGTATGTCTAGCTAAATTTATTCTGAAACTGTAATCTTACAACAATTATTACAGTAATATTAAAAAAATTAATGAGGTGCTGTTGAAAACCTTTAAAGTAACATACCAATACTTTCCGTGATTTATATTCAATTGGACATTCAGACAATTATCAAAACAACTATGCTAAAAAATGGAAAAAAATATTGAAAAGGTGATTTGAATGGCTTTTTGGACATTTAAAATATATAATAACTTATATTGGAGATATTGGCGAATAAATGTAATGTAATACTAAATTTTACATTTCAATAAAGCCAATGTATAATATTTTTGTATTCCAAAAAAATTTGGAAAGTATCTCGATTTTGCGTGTCAACCTAACGCAGGGATTTTTAATTGCGCAAGGATGACACGCGAAATCGTAAATCATTCAACATTTTTTATGAAATAAAATATTATATTTATTAATATATTCATATATATAAATATTTATTTTATTTTTTATATATTATTTTTTTCGTACATTATAATTATATTTATTATTTATTATTATAATTATATTATTATATAGCCTTTTTAACCCTAAATTTTAGTATTACATTACATTTAAACCGTAGTTTGCCAAGAAAATGTATCTTTAAATTTTACCAACTACTTTACCAAATATTTTTCAAACCTATTTTACATTATCAAGGCTATTCCTCGTTGATCATACAATTCTTATTATATGTCTTCTAAAGGTAAATAAATAACCTTTTTTTTCACCTACTCTTTATATGTGCAATAAAAAAATTACATAAATGTAATTTATCAAGTTTTGGAAATGATCCAATCTAAGGCTACAGATCTAATTTTTATTGGATAAATAGTCTATATACATCCATGAAAAACTTAATATTGAATTATTTTTTCAAGCGCGAATATTGCAAAACGTTATAAGTTCACTATCGCCACCATAAAATGAATAATCCTTATTGGCGATGGATTTTTCTTTGATTGGTTGGATCAAAATATTGGTACAAAACTATTTAGAAATTATTTAATATTTTTAATTAGAAAAAATTTACTTTTCTTAACATCGATATTTCATTGTAAACGTATTAGGTTGTGTCTAGATACTAAGAAAATCTTCAGATAAATTTTGATATAAAAGAAATGTGTGTTCCTATTTTCAAGAAAATATTTTCTTCCTCCCCTCGACACTAAATAGAAAAAGTACATATAATGGTTGTAACGCATTACACCATTCCCCACAATGTACAACTTTTACACACGTGAATTACTTTGTAGCATGCAACCTAGAGCATTATGAACTGCAGCAGCTTGTAGGTGAAGTTTGATATTGATATGTTTTCTAAAGTGTTTTCCGAATCGCAAAGTGAAATCCGTTATATGACATGGTTAAATGTTTTAAATACTGTGCATATAAAATTGGCATTTATTTCGTAGTAAATTGTTAGGACTTTTACAAACAGGTATTTACGTTTTTAATAAGGCAGGGTACAAATTTCACATCATATAGCAGTAATTACCAAGATGTAAATTACTGTTTTTAATTAAATAGTTTCGATTGTTAGTTTAGCTACAATTATAATGGGCTATTATTTTGTAATTTATAAATTATTTACTGGAATTAAAGTGTTATTATCATGGGAATTAATTTAAAGGATTTTCATTATTAATATGACCCCCCCATTTATTGAGTTTTTGTTTATATTTATGGAATTATGTTGGAATGAATACCATTTAGAGTTAATATGTCTCCTATAAATATTAAGACTATTTATTTATTTAGCTATTTATGACAGTCAACAACAAGCTAAGAAATTGAACTTTTCTCGATTGTGGCATTTTTGTTTAGTACTCGGGTCTGCTTATCCGTCAAATAACGTTAACGAAGAAATTAAATTCATGCATCTGGTTATTCTGTGAAACAATAAAATTTTTAAACAATCGTACAATAAATATTGATTAGCCTGTAGTTAATTTTTTTTTTACATCTGTATAAAACTGTATATTTTGATCATTACTTTTAATGTTTGTATAAAACTGTATAGTTTGACCACTTCGCTACGTATCCCAGCTGACAATATTATTTTACGCAGATAGTTTTGATTTAGAATAGTCAACATTGTAAACATAAATATCGTAACCATACCTATCATTTAAACAATATTCTAAAAATACAATCTCCTATTCATCTGTGTACTATGAAAAGAGAAGTTCTTCAAGTTGAAAAAAATATCTAACGTTTCAGAAGTGATTATCAGACCCTTCATGTTCCTAAACATCAGAATAAACTTTAATTCTTTTTTTATACAATCTGTTCCACGTGCTGCATCTTGTACAAGTAACAAACAAGTAACAAACTTGTTCGTTAGTTTTCTTGCCTCACCTTATAGACAGTTAATGTGTGGGTGAAAAAGTAAGTATCTCATTTTGGAAGTTTATAACATGATTATTTTGGGGCTATTAAATGGGACAAAATGTATATCAAAGCATACATTTGATCAGCTATTCTATGTATAAGATTTATTTGATTCACAGTGAAAACAATAGTCACTTATACCAATAATCGTTATTGTAGAGCCAGGTGGTTAAGTTTTTAAACCATAAAAGTAATACATTGGTGATTTTTATTTTTTTTTATTTTTTTCTTAAGTCCACAATTTTTTTGACAAATATAGCTTGACATTTACAATTAAACTCCAGTTTCAATGTTAATTTATATTCTACGTACCACAAAGATTGAAATTATTCAACGTTACTGTAGAATTACACTAAATGATATTCAAAATATAAAAGAACCATTTTATTGAATTCTTAAACACATCAACCTAAGCAGAATATTTACTAACAAACTTAATAATAATAAATCAGCTGATGTATTAATTACTTATACATTTAACTATCTAACACTTTTCCCCTCTTTCTTTTTACACGGATTCAACAGCTCCCATTCTTTGTCTCATCTGGTCCGCATGTTTCCTTTTTATAAAACCTCCACAAAGTACATCATATGAGTACAGTCCATTTTTATTTTTCACCACTCCAGCTGACCAACCATTCCCATGTTCATTCTTAATCTACTCATCTTCTCCTTCTTCAAAAGTTCGAACTTTTTTGTTGTCCCTCCCTTGTTCTTTCCAAAGCTTCATCTCCATCTTTTTCCTAAGATTAGGTTTCATATTGTCAAAAATTGTTGGTAGTCTACGACCGAGAAACAATTCTGCCGGAGCCCTACCAATTGTTTTCTGAGGCGATTTTCTGTAGCTAAAAAGAACATTTTGAAGAGCTAGCATTCCATCTCCAACATCCTGCTTTGTTGTGTAGAACCGTCTTTTCAAAGTACGAATTAGTCTTTCTACAAGTCCATTACTTTTAGGATGGTAAGGAGTTGTTTTTATGTGGTTGATAGAATTTTTCTCAAAAAATGTTTCCATTTCCTTTGATAGAAATTGAGGTCCATTGTCTGTCACAATTTCACTTGGTATTCCGTATCGACTAAACCAAGATCTCAATCGTTGAATGATTGTTGAAGAGTTTGTTGTCTTGAGACAGTCCACTTCTGCCCACTTTGACAAAGCATCAATACCTACCAACCACATAGATCCGTTGACTGGCCCTGCCAGATCAATGTGTACCCTTTCCCAAACTCTATCAGGTACATTCCAAGGATATAATGGTACTTCTTCCACATTATCTCGATTCTCTTGACAATATGTGCACCTCTTGATATAAACTTCGATATCTTTATCCATGTTGGGCCACCATACATAGTGTCGTGCTACAGACCTCATTGATACAATACCAGGATGTCCTGTGTGCAATATCTTCAGAACATCAGTTCTCATGCATTCTGGAACTACAATTCTTCCAAACCACAATAATATGTCATCTTCAACACTCAATTCATCTTTCCTCTGTTTGTATGACTTCAACATTTCAGGAACAACAGGGGGCCATGTATTTCTCAATACAAAGTTTTTTGCCATTTTAATTGCTTTATCTGTAAATGAATTTTGTTTCAAGAGGTCATAAGACATGATAGAGTTAACCTTATCAACATTCAAAAAACCAATCTGAGCCTCCTCAGGTTGACCTTCTTCAATCGGAAGTCTTGATAGAACATCGGCACACACATTATCTTCTCCTTTTCTGTACTCTATGTCATAGTTGTATTGATTTAACTGGAGAGCCCACCTCACTAAACGGCTATTTACAACTTTTGGGAGATCTCGCATATTTCCAAATATCCGTTGTAGAGGTTTGTGGTCGGTTACTAAAGTAAACTTCCGACCATATACATATTGATGAAATTTCCTGAGTCCAAACATAATAGCTAGCGCTTCTCTGTCGATATTTGAATATTGTTTTTCAGCGGGCAATAGTGTACGACTGGCAAAAGCAATTGGTCTTTCTAGTCCACCTTCATATCTGTGCTTTAGTACACTTCCCAATCCATTTTCTGAAGCATCACAGACCATTACCAATGGTCTCATTTCGTCGTATGGCACTACTGTGTCTTTACTTGATAGAATTTCTTTTACTCTTTTAAATGTCCCCTCTTCTTGTTCGGACCATTTCCATTGTGATTTAGTCCCAGTCAGCTTATGGAGATCACTGAAAATGGCATGAAGTCCTGGAATAAATCGTTCATAGTAGTTAATAGAACCTAAAAATGATCGGATTTCCTTGACATTAGTAGGTGACCGTGCTTCTCGAATAGCTTTTATTTTTTCTTCAGTAGGATGTATTCCATTCCGGTCGATTGTATGTCCCAAGTAAGTCACTGACTCTTCAAAAAATTTGCATTTACTAGACTTTGCTTTTATACCAGCTTCTTTCATTCGTTTCAAAACCTCTCTCAAATTTCGTAAATGCTCGTTCTTATTCCGTCCAGTTATTATAATATCGTCCAGAAGAACTCCAACCTGTGGTATCCCAGCTAAGAGCCTTTCCATATATCTTTGGAAAATACCTGGACTAGATGATATCCCAAAAGGTAAACGTTTGTATTTATAGTAACCACTATGCGTTGCTATTACTAAATACTTTCGGTGTTCTTCTGCAACCTCCATTTGTAGGTATGCATCTCGTAGGTCTATCTTGGAAAACTCTTGTCCGCCTGCAACTTTGTTTGTTAGTTCCTCAAATGTCGGAATTATTGCATTTTCTGGGACCAAATGTTGATTCAAAGTGACTCGGAAATCTCCACAAATTCTTATTGAACCATCATTCTTCTCTACATTAACTTTTGGGGTAGCCCAGGGAATAGGTGTAGCAGCAGGATCTACCTCTTCAATGATATCCTCATTTACAAGTCTTGTAAGTTCATTCTCAATTCGTTTTTTCAAGGGAAACGGAACCCTGCGCGCTGAAAAATGTTGAGGGTTTGCATCTTCTCGAACGTGAATTCGTGCTTTATAACCCTTGATTTTCCCATGCCCTTCAGAGAACACATCTTCAAATTCTTTTAGTACTCCCTTAACCCTCACATCATCCATCTTATATTGATTATGATTCTGCTTACATTTTACTTTACTAATAGTAACATCAGGAGGGAGGTTCATATTAAAGGCTAATATCCATGGTAAACCAAACAGTGGTTTCTCATTTCCATTTACTACTGCTACTTTTAATCTACGTGTCTCATCACCTACTGAAACATTTACATAACATTTACCAAGTATATCTAAAATATTGTTTCCATATGCCACGTATTTTGAATTAGTCTTACCAAGTCTTGGTGAACCAATTTTCTCCCAAAGAGACTTACCTATCATTGAGGCCCAGGCTCCAGAGTCAAATTCCATGTTTGTAGCTACCTTATTTAACTTTAAATGAATATGTGCTTTACAAATATGTCTTCTTTCCTTTTTAACATCGTTTATCCTCATGTCATGTGAGTCCGATTCAGATTCTTCATCTTCTGACTTTTCATGCAAATAATTCACTCGTTTTTGCCGACATACCTTTGCAAAATGTCCTATTTTTGTACAATTCAAACACTTTTGTTGATAGGCTGGACATTTACCAAATTCATGCTTTGTTCCACATCTACTACATGGATGATTTGTCTTTTCATTGTATTTCACTTCTCTTTTAAACTCCTTATTGTTTCTTCTTACTTGTGATACTTCCAACTCTTTATAATTATTCTTGAATATCTCATGACGAGCTCTTTCCATTGAAGTGGCCAGTTTAAAAACATCTTCAGATGTTAACTTGTCACCATTTTCTTTTACCCCATCAGGCCATCGTTGTCTAATTTCTACTTCAAACTCTGGAAAATTTATACCTCCAGCAAATCTATCTCTTATTCTTTCATCAAACTTGTTCTCATACTTACAAAAATCTGCTAAATTTTTCAAACGTATTACTAATTCTGAAAGACTTTCACTATTTTCTCTGATACGTTTTTCAAATTCCATTCTAGCTGAAAATATAGTTTTACTAGCTCTGTATACTGACCTGAAACCATTAACTAGCTCTGCCCATGTAGCCTGATGTACTTTTAAAGGCAGCAGAAAGTTTGAAACTTTTCTTAATGGTGCAGGACCCACATAGGCAAGCAAAAGATCCCTTCGAGCATCCTCTGCTCTCTGAGAATCTTCTCCCAATCCTTTTACCTTGCATAACAATAGAAAATGTGCTTCATAATCATCCCACCTACTAGACTCATCATAGCTTTGACATTTGAACTTCTCTATCTTTGATTGTAATGCGTCTTCTATAGTTTCATACTTATCTTCTTCATTGAAATAACTATTTCCTCTTTTGGTTCGTTTACTCATCATCGCCAATGTATAATTACACTAAATGATATTCAAAATATAAAAGAACCATTTTATTGAATTCTTAAACACATAAACCTAAGCAGAATATTTACTAACAAACTTAATAATAATAAATCAGCTGATGTATTAATTACTTATACATTTAACTATCAAACAGTTACCAATCAATAATCAAAACTGCTACGTGAACTTATCAACGCACCTTGGTTTATTACCAACAGAACACTTTACAATGATGTAAGAATTCAAACAGTCAAAGAAGAAATCACAAAAATCTTTAGAAAAATACATTATCAAATTAGAAAATCATTCAAATCATTTCGCACTATAGTTTTTGGATAATCACAGCACCATTACAGACTGAAGCGACGTACGATATTTGGCCTCCCATTCAGAATCGGCTGTTATCAAAATTCTCTTTGTTAGCTAGTGTTCACAGTGAGTGGTCTATCACTAGCTCATGTTCTTCATGTTAATGTTGTGGCTTTATTTATATCATTTGCCTTTTGTTCAACTTTTGAACATATTGTAAATTAAATAAAGTAAAAAAGTCATAAAAGAAATATTTTAAACTCTAGCGTTATTCTCGTTTCTATCAACATAGGATTAAGTATTTAAATCCATAAAAAAGTGTATAAAACGCCATTTCGTGTAATCATGAAATCAATTTGCTGCTTATGTAATAAAACGTAAGGTTTGAACAATTATTTGTTATAAAAATAACATTTAAATTACACTTAGTTTTTGGTTAAATGTTCAAATCAATTTATTTTAAATTTTGTAAAATTTTTTATCAGTTACAATTGTAATACTTTGTATTAATTATTTACTAAATTATAAATATATTACTTGTACGTAGGCCTATTCTCCTTACCGAGGGACTTTCTTTTCCTTCTAAAGATCAGCTGTTTTCTTTTTAATGTGTGACTTAGGCCCGATTTCACCAAACTTTTAAACAGCCGTTAAGCCTTGCTCTAACTGCAGTTAGCTCTTAACTGACGAAATCGGATTTCACCACTCGCCGTTAGCGCTAGTTTAGACTAAACCGTCGTTAGATAATTAACTGCCCAATTTTGACCGGTTAACTTCTTTAATCTTTCGTTAAGTAAATATCAGCTGGCTTTAAGTTTAAAGTTTATATGGAAAGGCGAAATGGTAGAAGAGAATACGGTACGAATTAGCTTTTGAAAGTTAAGTGATGGCAATGAAGAGTAACCTTAACCTATGCTGTTCGCCTACCTAGGTGGATAAGAGAAAGGGTTAATGATTTTAATAACAAAGATGAAATTGATTTTATTATGAGATGAACTATCAAAACGTTTAGCCTTTTTCTTTAGGAAATGAACACAAACCACTGTAGTGGTTTGTGTTTAGGCTATCCCACATAGTGCATTGCTTTAGGTTATCCCATAAGGCTTTTAGTTAAGGCGTATATCTGCGATCAGCGACCGCATTGAACTGATTGGCGATCAAGAGCCGTACTCTTTTATCCCGGCTAAAAAAAGTGTCCCGGCTCTTCTACCAACATTATCAAATTTATTATTTCACTAGCTGTGTACCCGTTCTACGCACGGGGATCTTATAATATTCAGTTGAAACCTTCTTATATAACGAACAGCAGTTGGTTTGCATATTTTAAGATATGCTGGCCAAACTATTATACATAGCTTCATTTTATGTTGTTTTTTGTTGTTCCGGATCGGTATGACAATCAATAAAAGGTTAAATTACCTCTGTGTCTGCCGGTCGATCCTATAACGGTAGGCTTACTTTTATTTTTACTATCTGATCTCGTTTGCATGGCTCAATCACGTCCTGGTTGAAGTTCGTTCGCTACGCTCACTCACCTGTATGTTGGAGCTCGTTCGCTGCGCTCACTTTCCTTCAGGTTAGCTCGTTCGCTACGCTCACTTGCCTTCAGGTTAGCTCGTTCGCTACGCTCACTCGCCTCCAGGTTGCAAATTAGCTGTTGTCATAAATGTAAAAGAAATAATAGTGCTAGTGCTGCACCCTGTTGGTAATCCTTGTAACTTTAATGCTATTGAACATCACAGAACAGAACCAACTTGTTTAATTGAAACAGCTGTTAAGATTCAATAATTTCATTTCTCATAAGGTTAACATGGGCTTCCAGAAATTCCACGTCAAAAATCGACAAAAACTTGATTTTCAAGGGTTTACTGTTAAATATCTAACTGTCTCATATTCGATGAAATACGTCTAAAACCATCTCATATATGTATAGTATTTGGAAAATAAGTTTCAGGCGGGACAGTGCTATAGTTATTGAGGAGTAGTTGTAATAAAGTGCGTATTTTAGCGTTACCAAGAGAATGACAGATAGACAGACAGACAGACAGACAGACAGACAGACAGAAATTGAGATAAGGTTTGATTCGGTTTCTCTGACCTATGAAATGTAAAAATAACCAAAAAGTTCATTA